GAATCTTAAGTAGACTCCACTTTGAGCATGGATGCCAATGTGGGGCTGTATCCCACAACCCCGAGATTGTGACCTGAGCCAAAACCAAGAATTGGAGGCTTAACCGACAGAGCCACACAGGCACCCACAAGCTCCTTCTAGAGCTCTGCTTCACCACTCTCAAGTAAGGCCCTTGTTCTCATTGTTGAAGGTGGATGCTAGAGCTTAGCCATCACCTCTGCATTCCAGGCTGCGGAGGAATGGATGAAGAAAAAGGGGCAGAGATCACATTCTAGCATCCTTGTAAATCTGTTTATGTAAAGTTATTTTCCTTGAAGACACATAACACATCTGCATGCATTTTTACCTACTCATGTGGCCTAGTCATATAGCTGCAAAGGAAGCTGGAAAATGCAGTCCTTATTTTCAATGGTCAAGTTCTCAGCTAAAAACTGGCACTTCTAATAGTAAGAAAGAGGGATGAACAGATATAGTAGCAAACTACTGGTCTCCATCATGATTATGTGTAAAAATTAAGCTTATTACCTTCCCCAGGCAGTTGCTGTTAACCGTTCTTGACTATCTGGGAAAAGGCTTATCTCTTTTGTCCAAGATTTTTTTTCCACTTTGCCAAGAGTTGCCATGACCCGTCCCCGCTTCACCAGTAATAATTTGTGTACCTCTTCTCACCCCAATTGATTCTCACAAAAGCATTATGAAATGAGTAGGATGTCATGACCCCCATTTTACAGATGAAGAAACCGAGGTGCAGAGAGGTAAACTGACTTTGCCTAAAGCTGTCCAGGGAAGAATGGGAGTCCTGCTTCCTGTTGAGACCGTGCACAGTGGCCAGTGTCTCATGGCTCCAGGGAGAAAGGCTCATTTTGGGGCTAGTACATCCTCTCACACTATTAAGTCTCTTAAACAGAGAGAGAGCTCAGAGCATTTGGCAGGCAAAAGTATCCAGCTAGAATCTAAGAACATTGTTTTGGTTTCATTATATTTATAGTTTCCTTCTATTTGTGGCAAATGATCCTGGTTTCCTTTTCTATGATAGTGATATAAAGCTTACTTTTTAAGTAAATGCCTCTAAGTTAAAAAGTGAGTCTATTAAAAGAAAAATGTTAAGTAAAGACCTGTCTGCGTTTAAATACAGATCCCACCACTGACTAGCTCTGTGACATGGGATATGATACTTGGTTCCTCTGAGCCTGTTTTCTCATCTGTAAAATGAGGATGATGACTTCTCCCACTGTATAGATTCGTTATAGCGTTAAACAAGATCATGATGTCAGGAGCTCTGCGCCCTGGCATGTAGTTAAGCACACAATACTGTTTGTGAACATTATTATCACATTATGAATATCCATATTATTAATTTTGTCACAACCCTTTCAGTCAGTGTACTGTAGGGTGATGGCTAGAGATGCCCCACCCACGGGCCCCTTCCCCTAGACCAGTGGTTCTCAACCAGGGAAAATTTACCCCCCAGAGGCCACTGGGCAATGTCTGGAGATATTCTTTATTATGACTGGGCGGGTGGTGCCACTGGCATCTGGCGGGTAGAGGCGAAGGATGATGACTCAACCTCCCACAAGGGCACAGGACAGCCCCCCATCATAAAGAATTCTACGGCCAAGTGTCAAAAATGCTTCCGTTGAGAAGCCCCACTCCACATGGCACCCTGCACCCGTGTCTGTATCTTCCAAGAGAGACTCGAACTCAGACTCCAAAGACCTCAGCCTCAGTTTCCTCATCCAGGACATGGGGATGCTGAAACCTGCCTTGCCTGCAGTCATTCCATCTCCTGATGGTTGAACCTTTTGGTCACTTCCTTGTCCTAGGCTGTCTCTAGTAGTGATCTTTTCCTCTCTTCCCCCAGGTCCAGGGAGACCATCTGATAGGCTTTTTTTCCCCATTTGCTTGACTTCTGGGTGTTTCCCATTCGCCTAGCAGCCTCTGGGGCCCGGAAGCCACCAGCTACATGGCTGCAGAGCAGAGGAGGGAAAGGCCCCACCTCCACCCTCTCCCAACACCCGGCGCTTCTGGGTCTTCGCTTCCTTGCAAGCGCTCCTTGACATGCATAACGATTCTACTTGTGTGCTGACTTGATTTTATTCCTCCCCACACGCCTCTTCTCCTGGGGACCACGCCTCCAGTGTCCCCAGCACCCTGCACAGTGCCCCGCACATAACTGGCACTCAGGATTTACATGTGCAATGTAGGAAGAGAGAGCCGGGGAGAGGAAAGGGCAAGAGGCTAGATCCAGAGAAGGAAGAGAAGCGAGAAGAGGAAGAGAGAAGAGGAGGGATGTTGAACGAATGTTAAATGCGGAGAGATCTAACTAGACAAGGGGAGGAGGGGCGAGGCCGACCCCTGAGCGCGATCGAGACAAGCCCGAGAGAGAGTAGGGCTGTGAAGAGACAGATGAAGAACACGAAAGATAAAAAGACAGGAGAAAGGAATGGGGAGGCACGCGACTGGGGAGAGGCACGTGAGCGGTGAGAGCGAGAACGCGCGGGCGCAGGGCCACGGGAAGGAAACTCCGTGAGGGCTGAGCGGGGGCTGAGGAGCGGAGAGGCCCGCCCTCCCGAGCCTGGCCGCGCTGCTGGGAGCTCTGGATGCGGGCGCAGTCTCCATGGAAACGGGGATGCTCCGCGAGCGAGAGGAAACGCGGCACGCGGGGAGGGGAGGCGGGGAGGCGGGGAGGCTGGCTGGCTTTGGCCCTTTCTCAGGCTCTTTTCCTCCCCCCAGCCTCTCGCTGGGGAGGCGGGAGCGCGCTACCTGGAACAGAGCCTTCGGACACCCAGGGCGCTCCTTCTCTCCTCTTTCCCCTTTCCGGGCGTTTGACCCTCCTCCCGTCTCCGGGGCCTGGAGGACATTGCAAAATGTCCGGGATCTATGGGGAGATGGACCGGTCGACCTTCTCCCGAGGCTCCTCCTACGAAGCGCCGCAGGGCTCAGTCCTGTTCTCTTCGGTTTCCCTAACTCCAGCCCAAGGGAGTTACCTGCCCACAGCTCTCAAATTTACATCTCCAGCACTGATTTCCCCCTGAGTTTCCCTCTCCATATGGGTGTCTAAAGTGCATCTTCAAACTTGTCGGATTCTTGAGCTCCTCAAGCTCATTCTCACCCCAGGGCTTCCTGAATTTGCCAGCGCCTTTGCCAGGAACTCTTTTCCCAGCCCATAAGCGACTCGCTGTACTCTAGTTGGGCATCATCTTGGAGGAGGCAAGCACTGGGGAAGCGAGGAAGCCCTAAGTGTGTATGTGTGTGTGTGTGTGTGTGTGAGAGACAGAGAGAGAGAACACAGCGCTGTGGGGGAGCGCTGCATCAGGTTGAGGGGCACAACCTAGGGGTGTGGGGACACTGTCGTGTCACAGGAGGGCAGGGGAGGCCACAGGAGGCCAAATCTTAGAGCGAGGGGCCCCAGTGTACTGCTGGCAGATGGGAGCCTGGGGACTAGGGAGCACTTTGAATGGTAGGTGAGGGAGAGACCTGACAAAGCCAAGGGCATCCTCCCCACCCTGGGAACTAGATGGGCCTCATGGACAGTGGGCAGAACTGGCCACCACCCCCTTTGTCATCACTGTCATCTGAAACCCAGGTTAAGCATCCCATGGCCCTGGTGTGGAACCTTCGGGTCTCAGACACAGTGACCTCGTTGCTGGTGGGACTGTCAGGCACTAAGAGGAAAACATCAAGGGCAACTCGCAAGTCGCAAGTCACCGGGCTGGCTGCTCACCGCAAGGCAGAAGTGGAAGGTCACTGTCCCTGTGGCTGACTGAACTCGGTCAGCTCTGATTGGCTGTGTGGGGCATGTGCTGATTGGTTCAGACTTCGGTCCTACCTACGAGGCTGGGCATTGGGAAGAGCCTACCCATACAACGTGGGTCGGGATTGGCAGAGGTGGGTCACTAAACATAGAGTGAACACCTAGGAGGGAACCAGCAGCGGCCTATTTCAATAGAATTCTTGGCCTCGCCCTTTCTCCCCTCCCCACCATCTTAAACGAAGCTCCCCCCTCCCCAATTACTTCCTTATTTGTGTGACTATTATTAGTATCATTGTGACTAGTTTTGATAATAATAACATTTAACATTTACCTGGGATTTACAATGTCAAGCATTTACATTTGCTGTCTCCTGTAATCTTTACACTTGAATACCGTCATTATTCCCATTTTACAGATGAGAGAACTGAGGCTCAACGGGGAAAGAAGTGGCTTGAGGTCCTACATCTAGGAAAAAGCCGGGTCAGGATTTGAGCCTCTTTGCTCTAATGACCTTTCCCCCACTAACTACAAGCTCTGTGAGGCTGAAGTCCAAGTAATGTGCCTGCCTCCTGCTTAGTCTAGTGCCTGGCGCCCAAGGGGCCTTCAGTGAGGAGATGCCAGGCACTGGGCTGAGTGTTTACGCGCATTACTTCCCTCAATCCTCACTACCACCCCGTGAGGTAGTACTGTGATTTCCAACATAAAAAGGGGCATCTCCCACTGAGTAGGGGAAAGAACTTCCCCAGTCTGTCCTTTGAGCAGGGGAGGGGAGGCGGGGAGGCTGGCTCGACTGCGTGAATGAGGACTATGCCCGGCGTCTTGGAGAAAAGGAAATGGCGCTGAATAAATATTTGTTGAATGGAGGACAAAAAGAAATAAAGAACCATGAGGATGGGAGGGAGTAAGCATGGTCAGGATGCTAACGGGAGCCGAGGGAGGTGACCGTGGGTGGCTATTTCCTTGTATTTCCAGGAACCCTTCCTGGAGGAGTTGATTTGATGGGGGTATTATGGGGTCCTGGAAAGGTTCTGCTCCCCGAGGCACGAGGCCGTCCCAGACCCTAGAGTTTCTGGAACCCACGGAAGTGGTTAACAGGCTCTTGGCTTGATTGGCCGAGCGGGAGGGCGCGGCCCGCGGGGCCCAGCCGAGGGGGGGCTGCGGTGGTCCTCTGGGTTCTGGGGAGTACTCAACCCCTTCTCTCTTCCTCCCTGACCATGGCGGTGCGCCCGGCCTCGCGCCCCCTCAGCTCTGTGCCTCGTGCTGGGCTGCATGATCTTTCCCGACGGCTGGGACGCCGAGACGATCCGGGACATGTGCGGGGCCAAGACCGGGAAGTACTCCCTGGGGGACTGTTCGGTGCGCTGGGCGTACATCCTGGCCATCATCGGCATCCTCAACGCCCTCATCCTCTCCTTCCTCGCCTTCGTGCTGGGCAACCGGCAAACAGACCTGCTGCAGGAGGAGCTCAAGCAGGAGAACAAAGGCGAGTGGGCTTCCGGGCGGCCCGCCGCGGGTGGGGCTGGGGCGGGGCCTCCAGGTGTCACCGAGTCCTAGAGATGAAGCAAAAACTGGAAAAGGTGCAGACAGTCCCACCACCTTGAAAGCAATTTGACGTTATTCCTCAAATCCGAACATTTGCATGCCTGGGCCCCAGCAAACCCAACTCTGAGTAGAAACCCATGAGAAATGTGGCAGTAGTTTCAAATAGCAAACCACTAAAAACAACCTAAATGGCCATTAACAGGAGGATGGGTAAATAAATGGACATTCACATCATGGACTAGTGCATAACTGAAACTGCATGCACTGCAGTTATAAGTGACAGAATGGGTACATCCTAGAAACATAATATTGAGACAGAGGGAGAAAAAATCAAGTTCCAGAAGATAACAGAGTGATATTTTTATGGAGCTCAACCAAAAACGAAGAGACACTAACTAATGTATGGTTTAATCATAAATATATTTATAGTGGAACTGCATTTTTTTTTTTAAGTAAAGAAACAATAAATACAGAAGATAGGATGATGCTTATCTGTGGTTGGGATAGAAGAGGGGAGGCCAAGAGCTTGAGATGGGGGATGTGTAAGCATGTACAAAATATTGGTGGTGTTCTTGCATGGTGAGCCCACACAGGTGTTTGTTACAGTATGCTTTATACCTAGTATATTACATATCAACTTTTGTATATATCAGGTAAAGTTGAAATCCAATGAAGAAAAAATTTACACACGAGGCCGGAGACTCCAGGCTAACCAGTTATCAGATGTTGATCTATGCATCTACATACAATATATGACCTTTTTTTTTTTTAAAGATTTTATTTATTTATTCATGAGAGACAGAGAGAGAGAGGCAGAGGGAGAAGCAGGCTCCCAGGGAGCAGGGAGTCTGATACAGGACTCGATCCCAGGACCCTGGGATCATGACCTGAGCCGAAGGCAGATGCTTAACCATCTGAGCCACCCAGGTGCCCAATATAGGACCTTTTAAAAAAATATACAGTAGTGTTATATGCTCATATAACACAGGATAGGTGTTGTCCTAAACGCATCCCTTGTAAGATCACTTTTTGTCCCCAAACCTAGAGCATATCTTAAAAATCTTTCTTTATCCTTTTATGGAGAACCCTTTTTATCCAGTGCCTGGCATTACGTCAGATGGAGGAACTGTAACTATTTAACTATTTTCCTTTTAGGGACTGTTAGGGAGGTTTCCAGGATTTTACTATCGCTGACAATGCTACGCTGGACATCTTTGTCTGTGCCTCCTTATACACAGTGTTTTCTTGGTGTTTTTCCAGAAATGGAATTGCGCACTTAAAATTGTAATGATAGTTCCAGATCGCTCTCCAAAGGAGGCTTGGTGTTCTGAGCCGGGGACCCACCCTGTCCCCGGAGCACCGGGAGGCACGGCATGGCAGCAGTGGACAGACAGCTGTCTGTCTGGGTGTGTGTTCCCTGCCATGAGAAATAGGAGTAGTGGTTTTCATAGTCACACCCTGGCTTGAGCTATTATCATGTTGCTGGGTCTATATTTAGCACTTTCCATTAATTATATTCCTCTCTTGAGTCTCATCTATAAAATGGGGATAATGGCAGTGAGGATTATTATCTCATCTGGCAGGAGGTGGTTTAGTCTTGTGGTGGAACCCTTGGACTGGAGGCTGACTGTGTCGGAAGCAGGCTGGGGACCGCACCTCCTTGAGCCTTAGTTTCCTGTACTTCCTCAAATGAGGGTGGTGGAAATAGTACCAGCTCACCGGGCTGTCCGATGAGGAAGAAAGATTATGTCTGTTAAGGGGCATTTGGTGAATACTCAGTAGAAGCTGTCACTCCTCAAGTCTCCCCACCAGGCAGGCATCACCACCACCATTTTACGAATGAGAAAGGTGAGGTCCGCGGAGGTCCAGTAACTTGTCCAAGGTCACTGAAGCGGTGCAGCCAGGATTTGAACCCTGGTCCAAGTTGAAAGGCCAGGCTCTTCCCTGCTGCCTGCTTCCTTTCTCAGGGCCCTCCTAGGCTGTTGGGCTGCCAACCTTTCTCTGAAGCTCCTGTCCCTGGAAACCCTGACATCTGGTGGTTTCTGTGGTCTTGGTGTGAGGTCAGGGCCTGCCCTCTGGTGGCAGCTTCTAGAAGTGCATGACTAAGAGCCATGTGGCCTTTCTGAAGAAGGGGTTTGGGGATGTGACTGTTGTGAGGTGGGCCCACCCAGCGTCCTCTCCTTCCTCCCCAAAGTGCCTAAGCTCGGTGTTTAAAGTGATGTGAAGGAGCCCCAGTTTTTCTTCCCTCAGCGTCGGGCGGGGGGTGGGGAGAGGGGTGTGGTGCTCCATCCCTCATTGGGAGCTCAAGATGAGTGAGCCTCACAGTTCAGTTCTGAGCCAGACCTCCGGGACAAAAGTAAAAACAAAAATAAATTGCTATCATTTCCAGCATTTACTATGCACTAAACATTGTGAAAAGTCCTTAGCTGGAATTTTTATGTTTTTTTCACTCCTTGGAATCACCCTGTGAAGTAGGCTCTTATGCCCATTGTACAGATGAGGAAATTGAGGCTCAGAAGGGTTGAATGGCCTACTTAGAGGCCTGGCTGGATTTCAGACTCTGTGAAGCTCACTTCCCTGCCCAGCTCTGCCCTGAGGAGTGGCCGGGGGGAGCCCCAGTGCCCTGGTAGTCACTGACTTTCTCCAATTCTCTCTCTCTCTCATAGATTTTGTGGGCTCTACGGTAAGCTCCGTGTTGCGGCCAGGGGGTGATGTCTCCGGATGGGGTGTCCTCCCCTGTCCTGTCGCTCACTCACAGGGACCCTGAGGGCCAGGATCACAGCCCAGGAATTGACCTGTCCTCAGCTTGTCCCGTTGCCTGCCCTCTCATCCCTTCATTCAAGCTCCGAGGGAAGACCCCATCCAGGACTGACTTCTCACCTGCTACCTGCCTGTAGCTCCCGGCTTTGAAGAGGTTGGGGCTGGGATGCAGCGTGGGGGAGGGCCTGATTCTGCTCCTCCCTCAACTGACCTGAGGGAGCTGGAGCGCTGGGCCCTTGGGCTTCTCCCTTCCTCTCTAGCCTGGCCCGGGGCCCCTTCTGAGTCTCCAGGGGAAGAGGCACTGCGGCTCCGGTTCTCCAGGCCCTGTCAGTCTGGAGGGCTCCTGCCTGGCTGCAATCTTGCCTCCTCTGGTCCCTGCCTCCTGCAGAAACTTATTCAAGACACTGGCCCAGGGTGGACCGGACTCTTTCCTGTTTCCCCCCCTCTGATGATGGTTCCATCACATCATCACAGAGCTCCAGGTGCCACCAGCCTCCTTGGGGCCTCTCTGCCGCCCACGCCAGCCTGTTTTCACCTCTCCCAAAGGAGTCCGAGCTGCACCGAGGGAGAAAGCACAGGGCCTCCCTGTCAGTCGCTGACAGAGGCCCTGGGCAGCCCAGAGCCTGAGGACAGATGGGCTCAGGAGGCAGTAGGAGGAGGCGCTCTGACTCCTGTCTTGGTGGCGTCTGACCATGGCAGCTGGGGCTGGAAGGGGCTCAACTTGGAGCTTGCCTGGCCTTCTCCCTGCTGGGATGTCTCACCAGTGACTGGACCCTTGACCCTGGCCTGTTTTGTACAGCACAGACTTCTTGGCCCTGTTGTCAGGGCTGGGGGTTCGGGAGGGGGGCCCGAGAGTGGGGAATTAGGGGATGCGTCCCCCCTCTGCCCCTTCTCATGCCCCCAACCCAGGCATCTTCCAAGGGCAGAGACTGTCTTGCCTCTTTGATACTTTTTCTGCATAACTTGAACTTGCAGGTCACCTCTGAACAGGGTACCCCCTGTCCCCATCCCCAGGCCTTGTAACCCTATCCCCACCTCCACTTCCTCCTCCTTGCCCACCTCTCGCCTTGCGATATGCCCAGGGTCTGCAGCCCAATGGGCAGTGCTTGGAGCTGAGGCATGAGTGTGTGTGTGTGTGTATGTGTGTGTGCGCGTGTGAGCGTGTATGTGTGTGTATGTGTGGGGCGGGGAGCAGAAGAGGAGTCTTCTCTCTCTCTCCCCTCCCACTGTGGGGGCATCTCCTTCCCCCTTGTCTGGGGGCAAATGAGGGAGACTCCAGGTGTTTCCGAACTCCCCTCATTGCCCGGTGGACCTGGCGGCCGAGCCGTACGGCCTGGGCGTGGAAAGCCCCTTTCAGCCCCCAGTGCAGGCGGTAGGTTGGCTTCCTCTAGTGTGCCTACTTCTGTCCTCGAGTACTGGAGGGAGTACTGGTCCACTGTGTAGCCGGAGTGGGAGGCCTCTGCGGGTTCACTGGGGAAGCTTGTTGTCATCATTTCCTATGTGGGCCTCAGCCAAAGGAGGGGAGAAAAGCAGCGAGTGCCATGTATTTGCCAGTCTTGTGTTCATTTCCATAGGACTTGGACCTGAGAGGGTTTCCAAGACAGACCCTAGAAATCCTCTGCACGAGACCCCCATCTGGACCCTAACTGGAATCAGATGCTGGGTCCTGGTAGGACTCCTGAAACCTGGAACTCACCAAGCCCTGACCCTCCACCCTCTTGACTCCCTTGTCTTGAGCAAACACCTTTCCCCTGGTGCTCTGGCCCCGGCCCAGTGCCCCTCTCTCCTCCCCCAGGGTTCTACCTGCAGGAAGGGGCTGTACGCCAAGGGCCCGTGCTGAAGGAGAGGGTCAGGGGAGCCTCATGGGAGGCAGTGGGGGGGTGGAAGTGAGTTCTCAAAGATCCAAACCAAAGCCCAGTGTTGGGAGGCTGTGGGGGGGGGGGGGGTGGGGGTGGGAGGGAGCCAGTGGTTGGGAAGGGGGAGAAGACCAAGGTGGGAGAGAGTGAGAATGAGAGAGGGGAGGGAAGGCGTGGAGAGAGGCAGAGAAATGGAGAAAAGCGAGATGCAGAGAGTAGTGGAGAAGGGAACCCTGGTGCAGAGATCCTGGGGTGGAGAGGGGAAGGTGGCTGGGAAGACGAAGAAGGAATAGGGACAGGGAAGGAGGCAAATGGAGGGGTGAGCTGTGGACGGAAGACTGGGGTGCAGGGGTGCAGCTTGGGGCAGAGGAGGATAAAGGAGGCAGGACGCCAAGGGACTGGAGCGGCTGCTGTGTGTGCCCTGCTGTGGGGGGGGGGGGTGCCAGATCCCTGTGCTGGGGGGAGGTGGGAGCCTCCCCTCAGATGCCCAGGCCACTGCCCACCCCTCTGGGGCCGCAGCGCCACTGGAGTGGGGGTTAGTGGGAAGGGAAAGAGAGGTGAATCCCCTTGAGGGGGTCCTGAGCGCCTCCCAGCCAGTTGGTGCCTTTGCCAAGGAAGGGGCAGCCCAGAGAAGCACACAGGAGCGTGGGGCTGGAGAAGCAGGGTTGGGCGGGCTGCAGGAGTGCCAGGGCAACACAGAGAAGGAAAAGAGGCTGGAGTGGGCACCAAACCAGAGCCCTGTCCCCGAGGCTTCGGCAGAGGCAGGAGCAGAGCGAGAAACCAATGCTTCAGTTCAGGTAGGGGCCCCACGTGAGGCTGGAGAGCCACCACCCTGTGGCTCAGATGGCTTTCTGGGGGCAAGGAAGCCATCGTGGACAAGGGGAGGTTTGCGGTTTGCCCTAGCCAAAGCAGGTGATTTGGCTTTTGCCCTTGGGAGGAGACGGATGCAGCGGTCACCTGTCGCCACCTCAGCATGGTCTCTGGGACTCTTGGTTCTTGAAAGAAGCTGATCTTTGAGTGCCCCACGGAGGCACTCCTCCCCGAGTGGTGACTGGATCAGAGGGGTCTGGCGCTAGCAGGTTGTTTCTGCTCTGGTCTGGGCACTTGCAGGAGAGGCCGAAGCAGCTACAACGTAGAGGTGGTTGAGAGCGCTGGTTGGTCAAGTCCTTCTGGGTCTCTAAGATGTGAAAACTTTCCTGTTTGGGAACCAGTACCCATTAAGGAAAACATTGTTTTTCTGAGGGGTGAGGACCATGGGTAGGATTCGTCCTTTCCAGGCCTGGACTAGCTGAGAGCTTTTAGATGGGGCCGTAGGGAAATTCTTTGGCCTCCTTGAGATTCCTGCTGGGGCACAGGGGAATCAGCCTTCTCCAACTTGCAGTGTAATTGAGACAGGGGAACCCTCTCTTTGGAGAAGCTGGGACCTTCCCAGCACAAGAAACCTAACGCAGGTCCCTGCCTGGCTCAGGGCTAGCCTTTGGGTGGGCCTGGAGTTGCCCGAGAAGGGAACGAGGGGGACAGTCCTTCCCAGAGCTCTGACCAGCAGACCTCAGGGGCCTGTGCTGTGTGTCGTTAGGATAGCTTGGTGTTGTCTACACCCCATTAGTAAGTTCTGTCTGAATGTGTCCTCGCTGTTCATCGTCCAGTTTGGTAACATTTATTTTGGTCCTGACCCCTTCTGCTGCTGCTGGATTTGAGCTTCAGTGCAGGTGGAATGACGTTCAAATAAAGAAACACTTTATATCACCCATGCTGGCTGCTGCTTCTCTGAGTTGGCCCCCTGGGGATGGAGAGGGTTGAGATGTATCAGGTTTGGCTACATAGTAACAGAGCTACCACTGTGGCTTAACAAGAGTTTATTTTCCTTTCATATTAAGCCTGGAGGTAGCCAGACCATGACTGATAGGGCCAACAGCATTATCAGGAACCCAGGCTCCTATCTTTCTGCGCTGCCATTTTCAGTTCTGGCTTCCAGTCTCAAGGACACCGCATGGCCCAACATGGCTGCTACAGCTCTAGTCACTTGGCCCACATTTCATTTGACGGAGACCTCTGGAAATCGTATAAGACTGAGTCACATTGCACATCTAGCTAAACTGTAATCTTTTAATGGGGCACATTGTCACCCCAGAAAAAATTGTGGTGCTATTACCAAGGGGTAGGGAGAGAACAGATGGAGCAGGCAGCTAGCAATCTACACGCTGCTGATTGACAGGCTTGACTTTGGACTTAGGACTCTGACTAGAGCAAACAAGGCTCTACCCTTTTCTGGCTGTGTGGCCTGGACAAGTCCCTTCACCTCTCTCTAAATCCCCATTAAAGGGAATTGACGATAGTGATCTCAGGGAATTGTTAAGAAACAAAGGAGGGAAGGTGGCTTGCTTGACAGCATCTGGCACATTGTAACATGTCCCATATGACAGTTAGATTGATTATAATGTCTGCACTTGGAAATTGAGTCTTCATTCAACACATTTTGAGCACTTGGTATAGGCTAAGCAGTTAGAGAACAAAAACAGAGACCCTGCGTTAAGTAAGGGTCAATTTGGCTGGGGAGATGAACATGTAAAAATAATGTAAAATGTGCCAGGTGCGGGGTATTGTGGGTGCCCTGGGTAGGGACACCTTCCATGGTTTTAGTGGGGTTGAGTAGAGCAGGAGACTGTTTTACTGTAGGGTGAGTAGGAGTTAGGCAGGCAAGGGTCAGGAAAGCCATTCATGTTGAGAGGGTATCTTGAGGAAAGAGTAGGGAAGAAACAATGGTGAGTGCAGAGAACTAAAAGCTAAGGTGTGAGGCAGGGAGGGTCAGAGATTCCTCTGGAGACAGGCAAAGCCAGCGGATGAAAGAGCTCAGGGGCCGTGAACAGGAATTTTGATGTTCACAGCAATGGGGAACCGTGGGGTGATTTTAGCAGGAGAGCAGCACGATTAGATTTGCATTTCAGGATGATCACTCTGGTTGCCCTGTTAGGGAGCTGAGTTAGAGGAAGATGATTTTTTTTTTTAAAGATTTTTTTTTAAATTTTTTATTTATTTGAGAGAGAGAATGAGAGAGAGAGAGAGC